CCGTTACGTCCAATTGTCTCATCCATTAATATTCCGTGTTACCAACTCTCTAATACTTAGGTAAAATTTGAAGAACAAGTATCTGAGAAGTACAATATAAAGAATTCGACAGAAATGAAACAAACTCTCAAATGTAAAACTCGTTGATTCAGAAATAGTAGTATCATTTGACGTTATATCCTATTCACAAACATTCCAGTACATACTGCAATAAAAATTATCATGGATAAATGGGATAAAATAAACAGTACACTAAGATTTCAAGATGTACATTCCTGAAATGTCTGCAATTTTGCCTCAAGGCAATAACTATTTCACATACAAGGACAAGATTTATAACCAAATATTTGAATGCCATGGGGAACCCACTTTCGCCTACCATAGCAGATATAGTTCTGGATCACCTACTTGACAAAACGTTAGCTGAACTAAAAACTAGAGACAAAATATCAAATACATAGCTAAATATGTAGATGACATTTTAGCCATTATAATAAGGACGATGCGGATGAAATCTTACTCACACTTAACAAATACCATAAAAAATACAATTCACGATAGAAGTAGAAACGAAGGCGTATACCATATTTAGATATGAAGCTACAACGCAATAAAGATAAAATTATGTTTGACTGGTACACTAAGAAACTTCATCCGGCAGAATTATAAATTACAACGCCACACAACCTAAATCTCAAATCCTAAACACGGCACGTAACTTGATATACAGAATTCTTAACATTAGTGACGAACAATTTCACAGAAAAACATTCAAATAATAACAAACACTTTGAAAACAACAGTTTTCCTTACAAGACTATAATGACATTAATAGATGAAACAAAGAAAAAATTATAAATGAAAAAAACAACAAGACGTCGAAACAGCGCAAACGGAAGACAAGACAAATTTTTACGGTGTAAAATACATTCCTGGACTTTTTGACAATCAACAATTACGGAGGATAATAAGAACAAAATATAAACTTTGCTTACAAGCCAAACACACGCTAGCTCCATATTCACAAACACAAAAACACCAATCGACAAACAGCAACAAAGCAATGTTGTTTATCAAATACCATGCAATGGCAAAGAAAACGAAAAATGCAACAAATATACATAGGAACAACAAAAAGAGCGCTAAATATACGAATGGGAGAACATAAACAAGATATACAGAAAGGGAAAGAAACGACGGCACTAGCACAACATATGATACACACAGGCCACTCACCTGATTTTGACAAAACAATAATATTAGACAAAGAGAAAATGAGAAAAAGAGATTGCTGATTGAAAGTCTGAGAATATAACAACAAATTGACGTAACGATGAACTTAAAGAAGACACCGACAATATTAGTGCAAGCTATGGAGTGGCAATAACGTAAACATACCTGTGATACTAGATTTAAGTCGTTGTTTATTGTCTTTTATGTTATTTTAATGTAAAATCTATGTAAGCACGTCTTGAATATTAGTGTAAGTAAAGAATATGTTTACAATTGTTGTAATTTGGACCATATTGTTAACTGTTACATTATTTTATTCAAATAGACGAAATCACCTGAAGAAGTCACCAAAAAGTGACGAAACGTTGGGAAAATGCAATAAAACAAGTCTTTTATTTGCAAAACTTACAGAGGTCAGTAAGCTAAAAAAATCAAATATATAAATTTCGGATCTGACCAAAAACATATAACAATGCTTAGTAATGTTTATCGATTTCTGCAAAGCGTTTGATACCCTGTCACATCCAAAACTTTTAAATATACTAGAAAAGCATGGAATAAGAGGACATTGTTTAAAATGGTTTGAACAATACCTAAATTGTCGAAAATTTAAAGTTAAAATTGAATGTTACAAGCCAAGAATACCAGTCAGATTATGGAGTGCCACAGGGCTCTAAACTCGGACCCATTTTATTTATAATATATGCCAATGATATGATAAAAACTTTAAATGACAGCATTACTTTTTCATATGCAGACGACACGGCCATAATCGTTTCAGACAAATCTATACGTTCAGCCGAAATCCGAATGCAAAACGAAATGAATAAGCTGCTAAGATGGTGTCATGACAATGGGCTGGTTATAAACGCTAAAAAAACTAAAATCATGCATTTTCGACCGAAACACATTCCCCACACAGAAATTTCCATACTATGTCACAACTACGAATGTCTTCATCAAAATAAATACGATAATCTACAAAGCAATGAAATCTGCACCACAAAATCGAATCAGTAGATGTTTTTAAATATCTTGGAATACTTTTAGACTGCAACATGAAAGGAAACCTCAAATAGATAACATTAGAGGCAACTACGCAAGTCTTCATTCGCTCTATATCATCTGAGTACATGCGCCCCATATACAGTGCTAAGGCAAGCATATTTTTCCCTTGTCGAATCTTATTTACGTCATGGATATCAGCTGGGGAAACGCCTCGAACTGCAGAACCCTTCAAGTAGCACAGAACAGCCTGCTTAAAATTCTTCTTAAAAGTTTACATCGCTCAAATAGGAATCAACAACAGTCAAACGATGCTAATTCAAACACTACCTTAACAAATAACAATCGATCAGATTACAATGAAAATCTACCCAAACGTCTGGACTACTGAACATAGAAAACTTCTATATGACAACAATATTGAATGAATTTTACGATGAATCAAATTACCTGCAGCAGATAGATCACACTCAAAACACCAGAAGACGTGCTGAAGGAAGATCAAGATACCATGCTTCAAAAACGATTACGGCAAACGATCGCTTAATGTAAGCGTCCCAACAACAATGAATTCAATACCAATATCTATACTAAATATAAGACAAGCGAAAGGAAAAAATAAAAAAAAAAAATTCTTAATATTTTTGATTATGAAAGAATTAACATCATTTATATTTCTTATAATAATTGAATTTTTTTTAAACCATACTACAGCTGAACTTGAAATAGTATTAAAATTTGTAGTATAGTCAAATTATATTTAAGTTAATCCTGCAGACAAGCTTAGCGCTTCGCGGGACCTTCTGAATTTGTACATGATTTTATATGAATAAATAAATAAAATAAAAAAAAAAAAAAAAATATATATATATATATATTAATATATCTATATATATATATATATAGATATATATAATATATATATGTATAGATATATATATATATATTATATATATATATAATATATATATAGATAGATAGATAGATACTGCAGACAAGCTTAGCGCTTCGCGGGACTTCTGAATTGTACATGATTTTATATGAATAAATAAAATTAAAAAAAAAAAAAAAAAAAGATATCTATAATATAATTATATATATAATATATATATATTATATATATATATATATAATATATATATATATATATATATCTATATATATATATATATATATATATATTATATAGATATATATAGATATGAGATATATATATATATATTTATATATTATAGATAGATAGATAGATAGTACCAAAGGGCCAAAGGTTTTTGTAAATTCGAACTTTAAGGTCTCGAAAATGGTACTTAACTTTTTAAATTGTACGAAAATCAATGTTGAAAACTAAGTTTGGTATATGAGGTGGTTTTTAGACATGTGTTCTAAGTGTGCGAACTGACATTACTAATTTATTATGATTATTATATTATTGTTGTCCCCGTTGGCACAGGAATTGAATATTGTACGAAAAGTGATGAGTGGTACTAAAATGGGTATAATATAAAGGTACTTGATGGGTATTTGCAAACTTTTCCAACTTATTAATCAAAATTACAAAGCCATTAGATTTTGACTGCAACAGAGCAAACATTGAAAATGGGGTACAAATGTTTTTGATTACGCAACTTAATTTTTTTTTAGGTTTTTGAGGTTTCATTATGGTCCGGGGTATTTTGGGGTATACGACAGAAAATGTCCGAATATGATGAGATTGTCGAGAGGTTTTGGCAATAGTGTGGTTTTTTTTCCTGTAATAACTGATTTTCTTTTTAATTTATTTTACAGAAAGACATTGCTAATTTGAAGCTCAGTGAACAAATTCCACGTACTTATGTGATGGCTGGCGAAATTTTAATGGTTCAATATGCTACACGTCGTGGGTCCACACGAATTTTATGTTATAAAGGTATTAATGCACTGTATATATTAATAATTAAACAATTCTTAAAAACTTTTAATGCCAGTTAGTCTAAGTAAATAAGAAAATTGTTTGTCCCAGCTGAATTTTTGACAAACCGAGGTTATATGTGCGTGCGCACTACCCGATATAATTAAGTACATTAGAAGAATAAATAAAAATTCAATAAAACAAAATGATTTTTTTATTGTAAAATGGGACTATAAAGAATAAATCGTGTTTTTATTATTTGACGACTTTTAGCAAGAAAAATAACTACATTCCCTTCTTAAATAATGGTTTAGTAGGTTGATTGTACTGAGTGTTTTTTCGGGTTTGTGCCAAGAAATATGTCATGTGAGCAAATATTATTTAAATTTAATAGTTACTTCCGGATGCAAACTAAATCTAGAGATTTATTTCTAAGAGAAACAAACACATAAATCTAGCACATTTGTGAAAAGGAAATATTGTAGACATTTTTGTTGGACATTTTTTAAATCGATTTTATTTTTTTCGTTTTTCAGGACGATTTAACCGAAGAAAAACGAAAGTTTTTGTCTGACCTCAATTCGTTCTATGGAGCACAAGAGACACAACGCCAGCAAATGTATTTGGCTGAACCTGGCGTGAGTTGCGCTGTAAGCATTGCCGATTTTTGGCATCGAGCCCGAATTATAGAGGTAAAAGGAAATGGATCACTACTGGTACGACTTGTCGATGAAGGGCGTACCGAGACAATTAACTGGCGCCAAGCATACACGCTAACTGAAATGTTTCGACAAAAGCGAGAATATGCGATTCGGTGTACATTGGCCGACATTGAACCATTGCAAGAAAATTCATACAATTACACAGCAACTGCAATTTCTGACTTCAGGCAGATGACTGTGAACCCATGCTTGAGAATGGAAATTCAGAGCACATCAGAAGATCTTACAGGTTCTGCTCTATGTGAGTAAAAGAACTTGGACATTAATATCGGGGCAGCTTTAGTGAAGAGTAGACATGGAATTTCAACAGGCGAAACAACGCAAACCTCGGATTGTTTTCGAATGACCAAGAAATCACATCGCATAAGGGAATAATAGTGTCGGAGAATCTTAAGACTAATGACTGCTCTTCGATAACCAGTCTTAAAACGTCTAAAGATTTAGAACCACTTCCAGTACAGCGATCCCAAATTATTATTACCCATATTGTCGACCCTGGGGAATTCTATATTCAATTATATAAATTGAAAATGGGGACGGACCAATTTCATGCCAAAATTCAAGAAACACTAAATGAGAAATTCCACATTTCTGCTAATTGTATCGATTTACCAACGAGAGAAAACCAAAAATGGACTATAGGCAGTCATTGTTTGGTGTACACCAAATACAATAGCACACCAACGGATCCTCCTACCAACAAAAACTGTGAATGGTACAGGGGCATTGTCATCGAAGCGAATCACGAGCACGTTTCGGAAACAACTTATTCGGTGTTTTTACGAGATATTGGAGCGACTATACGTTCAATAGCTTCCACCAGTTATTCTCGATCGGTGCACAGTTGGATCGTGTGACAAATGCAGTTTACCGTTGCCATTTGGCCGGTATTTGTCCCGCCGGCAATGTCAAAACATGGTCAAAATCAGCTATCGATTGGTTTCGATATTCGATCAAACAATTTGAATTACAATGGGTTTCTATGAGAGGAAAGCGCTTGGAGGAAACGAATTCATTACCAGTCGTATTGTGGGGCTCCTCAACAGATACTACGGATCCTTTGGCACCATGCATTATTAAATTCACTAATATTAGCAAGATATTGGTCGAGAAAGGTTAGCATATTCGCCTGGAACTACGGATACCATAACCGAACATTTTCACCAAATTGAAGGAATTGACCTAAAAGAAGGTGAAATAACAATCCAAAAATGGTTTAAATCCCTCGAAGATGATATGACTCTTAACGGTAAGTGCTAACTCGTTTATCATTTAACCAGGTTAACTATATATTCTTAATTTTATGTTTGATCGTGTGCTGTGATTATAATTTGACAAACATTATTTGTGCACACATCAAGTGCTAAAGCGGCGGACTGAAATTGTTAGAACGTGTAAGATGATACAGAATTTTCGTTGGTTGCATTTGGAAGTCAAAATCGGAGTTGCGGACTTGGAGTCTGTCTATTTTGTTGTAGTGAGTGTCTGATTCGAAAAAATTAACTCGTCTCCGTGCCCGGGTAATAACGTTTTTAATTCCGTTTCTCCATTCAAATTTTGCCATTTTTTATTGGTAATTAATTTTCCGGGCGGTATTTCTATTATCTCTCATGAAAGTTTTCATAACTCTCAATACTTTAAAATTCGTTGAAACAAGACTTGTTTCTGGTTGAAAGGCTTTCCAAAAACGTTAAACTTTCTTACACTACTGATAAAAATGTTGAAAACGCCTAATTGTTTGAAAATAATAAAGAAACCGTTACAATTCAAAATCCATACATAATATTTGAATTTATATGTAAATTACTACACAAATGTCTATATCTCTTACCATAAAATTGTCATTCCGTTAACAAGACCTGAGAATCCTCATCGGAGATCCTACAATGATATATTCGTAAAATCTATCACATTTATTGTTGAAATCGAAATAGCTGCAAGAATTAGTATTTTGTAGTATGATTTACATTGAATGTTTAAGCTATAATTTATAATGTACTGTCAATTAATAGGCTATTTTCCCACTTGAAATTTTCAATATACGTCCACTATTTAACCTATTTTCAACCATAAACACATTTTCAACCAAATTTTGTCGATTCAGATTCTCAAATTATCGGCCTTTTCGGCAAAAATATTTCAATAATTTTCAATAATTTTTCCAAATTCTAAACTCAATGGTCTTTAATTTATCATTTTGTGTGTCAGTCCACATTTTTTAATTCGTGACCAAATTTTGAAATTTCTTTTGATTTGATATTTTGAAATAGGTAGAATACTTCCTCGAAAATGTGTCCATTGTTTATACAGGATGCTTATAAAACATACAGGTGTTTCCAATTATGGTATGTTAGAGGGTCCTAGATGTATTCAGCAACTGTTCGCCGGAGCAGAAGTCTATATCCAAAATCTGATCAGAACCCACATAAAATGTAAAATGATGGGATGTATGGGAATATTCTCAAGGATTTTGTACAATCGTTTAAACTGTCCAATACACTGCCATATTGCGCGAAGTTTTAATATATTCCTATTAATATAAATGCAGTTAGCTAGAATGACATATTTTACTCAAAATCCCTTAATATGGACCGTTTGAAATAATTTACTTGGAAGTTGTGAAGTTGTTAAGGTAATGAAACGGTAAGAATGAGTTATAGCCAAAAAGTTTTTTAAAATTATTTTCCGGTTTTTATCAAACCTGTGCTTAGAGAAAGATATTCAAGCACATTATATTATGCATCCACATAACGAAGACGCCGACACTTTGAAGCCGGAATTTCGACTCATAATCTGAGGATGTAACAGGTTTTATGTCAATTGATACATATATAACATGTGTATATCATCCAAATAATAGCAGTAAAGGCCGATAATTTGGTGTGTACATTTTTTGATTATAAAATGTACAACGATGCCATAATTTTCTTAGAACACATCGAGATTTTATTTTATTCCTGGCCAAATTGTTCGAATCCATCTACAACAACCGTTGATACAGCTTCAGCGACAATTGAAAGCATGTTCCGTAAGTTCCAGGTATTAAATCGAGTTTAAGTTTAACTTTTTAACATCAATACAATATTTACACTGTGACAGCCATTCACTGATTGAGTAATTCCAGAACCATAAAATTCAAATCTTTTGTTTGTTTATTTTAACGATTTCAATATTCTGCTAATTTAGTATCTCTTTAAAATTATCAAAATAAAATTGTAATCAAACGATGAAAATGTCCTAATTGTCAGCCATATCTACAGCACATGTTATCATTTCGTGGTACTCACAATAATTTGGACGACCACTACAAATACGGCGCCCAGCTATGTGGCAACTTATTTTATTGTTTTCCATAACCATCTGTATAAGATTGCACTCAGCGCACAGGTATCCCGGACGGCACTTTTAAAGCTTTGTTGTGTTGTACAGCGACACAGATTTAATCCAGTACAGGGTAAATGAAAATGCAATTATTGTATACTCAGAGTCTGGAGTTTTAATTTAATTCAGTTTATTTCATTAAGAAAGATTGTAATGTACAAGTTACAAGAGGAAACTATGAAATAACAACTAATGAATACGGAATTGAGGATGTTAGTGAAAATAGGGTTGCCATCTGGCAGATGAAATAAAAGTGGTGCCAATATCGAGTTTACATATACAAATCTTCCCCTCTAAGAAGAGAATAGGGCCCTGACTCTTCGAACCCTTGTTGATCGCCGCAATCCTTGTCCCCGTTCGTCGACATTTTTAACAGATGATGATGCAATGGAGTAGATTCGAAAAAGCTTGGGTGTCCTCATACCCATGTGTTGAGAAGGGTGGAGTTGAAAATTGTTCGATCTGTTCTATCTCAATCTCTAAGTTAGTGGTCTCCACGTCCTCTTCGTCTTGTTCGATTACCGATTCTTGTTGTTCGTCGGTGACGATGCTCGAACCAGCTCTGTAGCTATTCGGATGATTCATAGAGTTTTCCTTACTGTTGACTGGTGTGCGACGACTGCATGTGTCAGTATCATTTTGATCTGTACCACGAAGTTGACCAATATGTCTTCTATAATACTTCTCCTGGAACAGAATTTGATAGTGGACATCTCCCAAAGGCTTGGTCAATTTGCCTTTAAACCATTTGTTAATGCGTGGATTTCCGGACAGAAAGTACACGTTTTGATCTTTGATCCAATTCCCTGTGTTTACAGCTGCTCTTCATGAACTGATTGACTGTTACTTTACTACTAGTTTCTTGTGGACGCACTAGATCTAAACGTGTGCGTAACTGTTGTCCTAGAAACAACTGTGCTGGGGACTGACCCGTTGTCGAATGAGGTTTATTCCTGTACTGTCTCAGGAATTCGTTTAGATTTTCCTTTAATGTCATTTTCGTTGTACACATAGCCTTTAATGCATTCTTCACCGTTTGGACACTTCTCTCTGCTTGGCCGTTAGTTGCTGGGTGGTTGGGGGCAGTAAATTTGTGGTACTTAACGCCAATTCTTTGTATAAAATTCTTGAATTCAGGCGAAGAAAAATTCGTTCCATTATCGGAAACTACTATTAATGGTCCTGCGTATGTAGCAAACACTTCATCCAGCAATGTAATCGTCGCAGCTGCTGTTATTGACTTGGTAACCTTTACCTCCAACCATTTAGAGAATGATGAGTAACATCATTCCCTCAAAGGAACCCACATAATCTATGTGCACTCGTTCCCACGGAGCCTTGGGGTACTCCCAATGATGATCTGTGCACTTCTTCAGGGCATTTGCATACTTTGCACATTTCTCGCATTACCTCGCAGTGCTCTCAATGTCTTTGTCAATGCCCAGCCAGTAAACCAAGGACCGGGATATTCCTTTCATCTTAACCATCCCTAGATGGGCGCCATGCAAATCTTTCGTTAAATCGCCCCGAAATCTATGAGGGATCACAATTCGGTGTTCAAACATTAAACACCCTGGCGACACTTTGTAGTTCATTTCAGGTGATTTGTAACCAGCTTTTGACAAACACTGTCCACTTTCCAATATCTTTGTAATCTTACCAAGATGTGGATCCTTTCTCGTTTCCAGCGAAATTCGTTCAGCAGTTACCGGTAATTGATTAATTTGGCGAATCACGAAACTGTCGAATTCATCAAGGTCATTACATATGGCCTAATCAAAACTGAGTTTGATCACTCTGTTGGCTGGAGTTACTTAAGACAAAACATGCGCATTACTGTTTTCTTTCGAGGTTTTGTGGACCACTTCAAAATCGAAATTAGAAAGGAAATCGGCGTAGTTTGTCATACGGGATATGCATAAAACAGGCAGCGTCTTACTCGGATGTAGGATTTGTACCAGCGGTTTGTGGTCAGTAATCAGAGTCAAATGACGGGCATACAGGTACTTGGAAAACTTTTGGACGGCCCACACTATGGCCAGCGCCTCGTTATCGATTTGTGAATATCGTTGCTCCGTCGCGTTCATGGTGCGGCTCGCATAAGCAATTGGACGTTCCTGTCCATCAGAAAGACGATGCGACAGAACAGCTCCCAGTCCCGTTTTATTGGCGTCCGTTGCAAGTAGAATATGCAATGCTGGATCATACGGGATCAGCACTTGCGGAGATATTGCTTAATTTTGGTGTATGCCGCATCTGTATTATTATTCCAATAGACGTTACTTTTTTCAAAACGTCCCGAAGTGACCCCTCAAGTGTAGACAGGTTAGGTATGAGGTTCGAATAATATGACGCCTTTCCCAAAAATAATTGTAACTCCTCCAACGTTCTTGGTTTTGTCGCATGCATAATCGCTTCAATGTGTTTGTTGGATTTGCGTCTATTTTGTGACCTAGAAATTCAATCGTTGACGTCACAAATACGCACTTCTTTTTTTAAACTTAAATCCTAATTCCTTTAACTTGCATAATGCAGTCTCAAGAACTTTCAACAGATCATCAACATCTGTTGCAAACATCAGAATATCGTCGAAAAAATAAGAATATTAGGAATGTGATGTATAGCCATTTCCATCGTTCTTTGCCAAATGGCCGGAATGTTAGCGGCTCCATAAACTGCTCGAGTTGGACGTATCAGTCCATGTGTTGGAGCATTCAGCGTCACGACATGGGCAAATTCCTCGTCAAGGACCAAGTGTGAATACGCTTCAGTAATATCCAAATGGGCAAACACCGTTGAGCCCTTCATCCTGTTGAAAATATCCTCCGCTTTCGGAATTGGGCGTTCTTCTATTACAATTAGTGGATTTACGGTTGGTTTGTAGTTTCCCGTAATACGTATGCCTCCATTCTTCTTCGTCACTACATGTGTAGTAGATGCCCATTCTGAATACTCTACTCTTTCGTAAAATCCCGCCGCAATCTTAGCATCCATTTCTTTGGCATACGCATCCTGTAATGCGAATGGGATTTTTTGGGGTCCTGCAAATTTTGGCGTAGCATCTTGCTTTAATTGCACTTAAATACAAGGACCTTTGAACTTACCCGCTACATCACTGAATATATCTTTATGTTTGGCTAATAGCAGCTGTTGCCGTTGATGTTCAGACAGTATGGGTTTTTTTTACTGCTATAGATGCTATCTTCTCTCCTGCCGCTGCTGGCAACTCCTTCCCCTTGATGCGTTCTATTGGGTCTTGGAACAATTCGGCAAAATTTATTTCTCGAACATAATGTGCGATCCACTCACCGCCACATAATGTGTCAAATCGCCATCAACAACGTATAAGTTCAGCCTACGACTGGTTCTGCCCAAAGACACATTCACCACGGTACGTCCTATGCACGTAATCTTGTGCCCCGTATAACTTTAAAATCGCCGGTCCGCTTTCTTTAACACTGGTGACTGCTTTATGTTCTTTTAATTCTCCAAGCTTATAATACTGCAAGGAGCACCCGTATCCAGTTCCATATCTACTTTCTGGCGGTCTATCTTCATTGTGACCATTTTCCGATCGAATGGCCCTTTTGTTCTGACTGTTGCAATTCGCCTCAGTATGTGCCTCCTCACCCTCATCTGACAACAACGACTCCTCTATCTGCTTTGTATTTGACTTGCACACTTTATTTATGTGGCCTACCTTGCCGCATGAAAACCACTTTGTGTTCTTGAATTTACAATCCTTCCGTACGTGTCGACCACCGCAACCATAACATCTCACCTCTGTAGTTTTATTCGACTTCTGCTTCACACCATTTTTGTCTTGATAGGTATAAAACCCAATTTGCATGGCACACTCATATGCCTCCGCAAAACTTTTAAGTTTCTTAGTAATAATCTCGTCACAAATATTGCGGGATTCCACTCCAAATATCATCTACTCAATCAGCATCCTATCCAGGAATGCCCCAAAGTCACACAAAGCCGCAGCTTGCTTCAAGCGCAGTGAAAAATTTGCCATCGATTCCCCTACATCTTGTCGTATCTGTCGAAATCTGAAACTTTCCGCATAAATATTTCTCCTTCCGTCGAAATGATTTATCAATGTAGTTTTAATTTCTTCATATTTCATTTCTTCTGGCTTCTTAGGACTAATTAGAATTTTGAGAGCCGTATTTAGCTCAGCACCCATATGTACGCGCGCATAATTATGATAATCCTCTTGATAATCCTCCTCTCAATTTCAACGCCCAATCGAATCTGTCAAAATAGTCTTTAACCGTTGAGCAACCGTGGCGGTCTTGTTGTATTTATGTCTTCTGACGTCACAAACTGGGGCCGCGATGTTTTAACAGCCTCCGTCTGTCCACTTCTGACACCAATATTGTATACTCAATATTGTATTGTGAGTCTGGAGTTTTAATTTAATTCAGTTTATTTCATTAAGAAAGATTGTGATGAACAAGTTACAAGAGTAAACTATGAACTAATAACTAAAGAATACGGAATTGAGAATGTTAGTGAAAATAGGGTTACCTTCTGGCAGATAAAATAAAAGTGGTGTCAATATCCAGTTTACATATACAACACAACCTGAAATTGCTGATTTTGCTGATAAAATCATCTTCAGTGACGAGGTCCATTTCTATCCCGATTGCTTTATCAATAAGTAGAATATTGTATTTGGGATGAGGAAAATACTCGAGAAAAAAACGCATCTTGAACATGTCACTGTGTGGGGTTGGGCTGGAAAAATCGAAAAAAAAAACCTTTTTTAAACAAAATAAGGCAGGTCAAGCTCAAACAGTCAATGGTGTTCGGTATCGTGAAATTATAACCATTTTTTTCTTGTCTAGAATTGAATAAATGAATGAGGAGGCCATGTGGTTTCAACAAGACGGCGCAGCATGTCATATAGCGAGAGGAACAATTCAAGTGCTACATCAGTCATTTCCCGGTCGTGTTATTTTGTGTTTTGAAGATTGGCCGCTTAGATTTAAACCTTTCGATTTTTTGGAGTCGATTGTTTATGCGAAAACGACGACGACGACGCAAGTCTTGAAAGAGGAAATTGAACTCTACATTAATCAAATACCACAAAATTTATGCAAACTAAAAATTTCATTGAAAGATCGCAAGTGTGCCAGCTAAGCTACAGCGGTCATCTGCACGAATTTTGTTCCATACATAACCTCATTCAGTCTACTATACAATATTATAACGTTTTACAATGTTTTTAAAATATCCGTTAAAATAAAAGGACATTTAACCAGTTTACGCCGGAGTTGTTGGTCTATCCGATTAAGCGAACTTTAAACGAGCAATCTGAAGGTGTTGGGTACAGTTCCCAGGTTTAACTGTAATATATCTATAGACCACAATTAGGTGAACTGTCCATTATAACAACTCTAATTATTTACATTTTAACTGTATTAGCCGATACTTCAAACATCTTATATATTCAATTCTGTTTCATTTTGATTTGATCTTTTTTCCTTGGAGGTTAATTTAGATATCTAGGATTCATTTTTAATCACTGTTTGTAAAGCTTTAGAAAATAGCCAAATTAGGGCATGTTAACCAAATTAAATCTAATACTTATATCAATACCAATGATTGATTGATCGCTACTATAGTCCAGTCAAAATAGCCATAAAAAAAGGGGGGGGGGGTAACATTTCGCCACACCATACATAATATGCACATATTTCCCAGTCACCTTTGAAATAAAGCATTTGGCGGTTTTTTTTAACCTGGTTTCCCACATAACAATTCAATATTGTATTGATTTCGGTTTCAAGAGTCGGGTTCCTCTTTCGATTTCCTTTTCATTAAACTTTTTTAGTCGAACTCCTCATTAAGATCACATGAAACTTTTTCTATTTTCCGGAACTGGATATCAGAAAATTATACAAAGTAATCCGATTTTTATACATACGCAAGTTACAATTGCAAAAATTTTTGCACGCATAGGATTTATAGGCAGTTTTATCATTTTTTAATGATAAGCTCTAGCTCCATATCAAATATCAGCTTTTTGGGAGTTTTTGCTCTTTCAAATGCCTACTTTGACTGGACTACTGTCACTTAACTTTCAAATAATGTGGGTTGCGTATTTTGTTTTGTATGAAAATTACAGTATGCTTTTACGTCTTTTGGCCAAATGGGATTGCTGTTTTTGAACGAACAGGGGCGGTTCGGAAACTTCTTAGTCTATCAATGAAAGAGAATAGTTAATTTTTCAAAAATATTTTTATTTTTCAATATAATCTCCTGAAACTTCATTTGAGGTAAAAAGCTTGCCAGCAAGGCATTTTTTTATTTGGAAACAAGTAAAAGTCACTGGAAGCTAAATCAGGAGAAATTAATCTTCAATAGAATATTTACGAAAAAAAATTCTTGTAACTTTGAAAAATCATTCATGTTAAAAGCCATGATTTGGAAGCCTTACAACAATAAAAATATATCATGAAGGGTATTAATCATTCTTGCTAAAAGTCAAGTTCCACCAAGATTTGGAATCCTTACAACAAAAAAATAAATCATGAAGGGTATTATCTTTAACAATTTTAGACATTCAGAAATTATAGCTAACCTCTTGAATTTCGGGAAAATAGACAAATTCACCGATATTTCGATGTGATTCTAACAAAATACGTATGCACGCTGACAAACGTATTAATTATTCGTAATCGTTTGCTCCATATGTTGATATTATTTGTACTGAACAAAACTTATATTTTATTGACAGCTATTGATCGCAGGGAACACTGTCGCGGCACTTTATTCAATGAACACGCTCACGCAAATAACCCTGATGCTATGGATGACATTATAGACGATACAAATATTTCTGATGGCCACCCTTTGATGTTTATCTTAACAATGTCGATGCTCAGCTATCTACAGGAATGGACAGGGCATCGGTTGCGTGGACAAAGTCCAAAGATCTTAATAAGACCTTGTTTGCCGGTTATCCAACATATGTAGACTATGATGGCATTATATTTCTACATGAAGCCGATGATAAAGAATTCTTGACCAAAATGAGCAATATAATGTCCAAATTGTTCGCCAATGTTGAGGAGCCTCCCGCGGATTATGTCTACACCGCAGGCCAACCATGCATTGCAAAATATCACTTGGACTCCAAAATTTACAGAGCATATGTAAAAAAAGAAAAGTCAAATGACAAAGAAGAAATCGAAGTCCGATTCGTCGACTATGGAGATGTGGAAAATGTGGTCCCAAAAGACATTCGGCCATACGCTCCATTTCCAAACATGCCATCGCTTGCAAGCAGATACCAACTTATTGGAATCCAACCCAACAACGAAAGTGGTGAATTCTCAGTCGATGTTCTGGATCAAATGCATCTTTACATTGTCGGAAAGTTTGTTTCGGTGCGCCTGTCACCCACAGAACTGACAATGCCCATCAAGAAGTGTAATATGCGATTAGGCACCGTTGATGTTGCCGCCACCTTCATAGAAAAAGGTTGGGCAGCGGCAGAAACTCTGATGCCAGGTTTGTCTTCGTTCAATAACGTCGAATATACGAATGAGCCGAGGAGAAATCGTCGGAACCCCTTTTCAAATTCCAACAGTACCGATTATGAGGTAAGTGCATTATATTTTATTCTATGATTTTGAGCATTTAGAGGGATAATTAGTAATCAAATTGAAAAAAAAAACGAAAAACAACTTGTTGGCAATATTGAGTTCTTATAAAATAGAGAAAACTACCATTTTACGTTTTCTGGCTATGTGATTTGATAAGACTTTTTAGCCGACTTTCAAAATGATCTGGTCCGAACATGCAAGAATATTCACAGGAAATTTGGAAGAGAGATTAGAATTATCTCGGTCTGTCTTCCGAAGGAAGGCCCTATAAAACATCAGACTTTAAGCAGACGTGCCGTACATCCGAAATTTGGTTGACTTGGAACATACATACATGCCTAATATTGTGTTATCAGTTACCATTAACAATTTGCACAAATGTTGCATAGTTGTCATTGTAACAAGTCTATCTAAAATTCGAAGCAGCGTACAAAAGTTGGGGTTTACTAACTTGGTTACGTTATATACAAAAATACCCTATTTCTCACCATAATCAATCATTTTAAACGGCCGGCCGTGCTACCCAGACAAGCATTGACTGTAACTGTAAAATCAACCAAATTTCAAACCCCTTTGAAAAATATTTATTTGCTTTGGCAAAAAATAAACTATTTACAATATTTCATTCAATATTATATTTCTATTTTCAAGTATGAACACCTCAAACAAACATAAGACGCCATGTCAAAGTTGAAAATGTTCAACTTTATTGTTTCATATGCAATGTGTGTTTGAAAATACATATATAAAATATACGGCGTACACAAGAATTTTTATAATAGCTATAAATCTGAAAAGTTTTGTAAGTAGTTTCCTAATAAAATTTCAAAACAAAAAAACTGAATGTCAAAACTTTTCTAATTGGAAAAAATTGAAAATTTTTCTCTTCGAAATAGGTAAGCAATTAACGTTTTTTCGGTACAATCTCCTTCTGAAGATATTTCCAAAAAATACATCTTCTACTAAGCACTTTTTTCATGGATAAATTTTCGCAATTTTTAACGTAACAATACACTACCTTTATATTGGCAATTAATTTTAATTTTAGATGGGATTAATTCAGTTGTTTACAATGGTTCTATTATAGGACTGGTAATCAATATATGGAAAATGACAATAAGAAAGACAAAAAAAAGAATTTAAGAGGCTTTCAATGTAAAAATAACGATATGTAAATATCTAGCATACAAGCCGTTCTTTAAAATCTGAATTGTATGAAACCCCAAAACTCTAATCTATATGTTCTATTTATTTTCTATTTATATATATAAATATCAATTGTTTTTCGTTGGTAATGGAATCAGTTGAGAACGGCTGGACCGATTTGCATAACTTCTTGTACAAACGTTCGTCATACCCCGAGATAGGTTTCTAAAGAAAAAAATATTGACCGCGCCTACTTTTACGCCCGCTATTTCGATTTATCTAAAATCCTTATATTTGCCAAAATAATGAAGATATCGGTTTGAAAATTATTACACGAGATACTGTTGACTTCCCATCCAACCCTGCCATCCCATCCAATTTATTTGACGGCTGATGAACTAACCACGCCTACTTTTTGGCCTAAATATATCTATGCGTCCAAAAGAAAGTTGTGTTAGTTACTACGCTTATAACTAAAGAACCGCTTATCTGATTTTAGCGATCCAAACAAATTCGGAATTGTCTCTTGGCAGAAAAAGTACAAAAAATCGGGGAAAATGTGAAACATGAATTTTTTTCATTTTGACTTTTGAAAAGGTCAATAGTAATGTTTTATATTGCATGATTTTTTTTTTCATTTTGATTTACTATGTTCGAATGTATATTTGTAGTGTTTTTTTTTTTAATTCTAATTTGATTTGTAGTCTTTTTGGGGAGAATAAAGCGACAAAACTGTTATTTATAGATTTTATAAAAGATAATAATCTATGAACACAAAAAAGAATATTTAAATTACTTTTTTTAAAATCTAAAAAGCTAAATAATCACGAAAAAAGGCTATCTCATCGCAAACATTCTGAAATCGGGAAAAAAATGATAATAGGATCGAATTTCAAAATAATTGTATATTCGTAAGGACCTTTATACATTTGCTGTAAAAAATCAGCGAACAAATTGAAGATTTTTTGTTTTTTTCAATTTGCTTTTGTGCAAAATAGTGGAGCGAATTGGACATTTAGTATGAAATGGATTTCTTCCAAAACTTTTAAGATACCTTAAATCGCTCTTACAGTCATGATATGGGTCATAACCCCCGGATGAGGGTACAATCCGATTTCAAATATATTTTGCGTTTTAAGCATATTTTTAATACTAATTTCGGTAAATGTTGGTAATATAACCATCATATGGTTTAAGCTATTTTGGGGGTCTTGGTCACTTTATTCTTTTTTTGGCCCTTATTTGGCATTTTTCTTTCTAAGGGGGGTAGAAAACCTATTCGCATAAAATTTTCAATTTTCGAAGTAGGGCCCATCTCAGTCTTGACCACATTCATCAATTGGTTTACTAAATAATAGTATTTAAGATATTCTGGGGTAGAGAACCAACTTATAAATAATTGTCCACGTAGACATTTATTTAAGTATGGTCCACACATTAGTGTACGCCAACCAATGTGTGGTTAGAAAAGAAAATTGTGTATTCTGTTGACTTTCTGCCCTCAATTAAAAGTTGGACAAAACTTAATACCACGCATTCCAAATTACAACTCATTTGAATGGAATGAAATACCAAAAATTTAGCTGAGTTTTTATATGGATCTATTAAAAATGTTTTATAACATATAGGTTTTTAACACTCAAATTAAAGCCTATAGCTGAAAAATAAGATCAGACTATTCAAAATATCTAGAACCGACGGTAGTTGAACATCTATTATAATTTTTTCCCATTATTTTTATTTATTTTAGAAATTTTTAGAAATTACTATGGAGTCATTACTTATAATAAAAATTGTGCCACTTACATAAGTCAGATCTGTTATTTATTATGGTTATAAAATATGCATTAAAGACTTAAAGCACAGCCGGCAACACGGACCGGGTCAGCTAGTGCTTTATGACTATATTTCTTTTAAGTATATATTTTTAACTTTTGGTATTTTACTTCTTCAGGATTTCGACGCAAATAATTTGAATGAAAACGAATTCTGTATAGAAAATGAAGCTAGCAATTGGATGGTATTGCCGCAATACAAAGAGGATAACATTAGCAATGTAATCGAGCGTCTAGACAAACGCCATGACAATCTCCTTTCGAAAATTACTCAAACCGGAAATGAACACAAGAACAGTTTTGCAATCCCTCCAACGAAGAAGCGCATGTTCGATCACAGTGATTATACACAAATGATGAACGGAGGATTATTACTTGACGTAGATGATTTAAGCAATGTCAGCGGGAATGATCATAAAATGGTATCATTTAGCATTGCCGATGACGACGATGAAGATGTTGTTGAAATGAGCCACAATTTTGCCATGAATTATTGGCATTCCGCAACAGATGATACAAAGAGAAACGAGGAATATGACATATGCCAACAATTGGAGCATCGAATCTCATTCCAAGAAGAGGAGGTATATACAAGTCATGGACCTAATTGGATTGTCTTAAAATAAGTAGCGATTTCTTTTTTTGCAGGACATAGAATCGGAATATGAACATTTTTATCCGGACGAGACTTCGACAATTTTTACCCACTTCAGTGGAATTGATGTATTCAAGACACCCCACTTTCCAGGTGCACAGCAACAGTTCAAATGTCGAGTTATAAAGATAATATCACCTACTGTACTTCACATAATTCCCATTACAACTGATTACAAGAAACAAGATATTAATATGCAGATTGCTATTGGTAAAGCAGCCAAAACAGCTAGACCACTCACGAGCTTCAAGCGATCCACGCCATGTCTGGCATGTTATTCAAAAGACAAAAAGTGGTATAGAGCCGTTATTCGCAGTAACAACAAAATATCCAAAACTGTCGACGTCTTATATGTTGACTATCTAAATAGTGAAACCCTTCCTACCAAATACATTCGCGAGTGTCCTCCGGAAGTATTAAGTTGGCCGCAGCGCACGCTTCGTGTTCGTTTGCATGGTTTAATCGCAAATATGAAAGTTGACGAATCAGCCATACGTCTAGCGTTACACAGAACTGTATCTAAACGAGATCTTACCGCTGTTGTCAAGAAGTATCGAAACTGTCAAACATCTTCGATTGATACATTATCTGCTACCAAAAATATAAATGAGATATCTTTGTATGAATCTGAATACCACCTATCATTACAAATTCCCATTTACGAACACCTTATAAAGTCAAATTTCTATTCCAGATTATAATAACTTAATTATATGAAATGTGTTTTATAATTTTATGTTTTCCTTAGAATGTTACTTTTTATGCATTGATAAGCCTTAATGATAATATATAATGTTAAACATGAATTACTTAACAAATACATAATTTATTTTACAAACGAATTTAAAATATACTCTAATTTTAAATTAACCTTTGAAATATTTCCATTGTCAACAGGTAATAAATGTCGATAGGATAAAATTTAATGATTATCAGACTCTTTTTCTCCAATTTATAAGACATATAGGGATATTCTGCCTAAAAATTTATCTATCTTACTCCAGATGTTGCTGTTCTAATTCCGGATTGTCCATCTTTGCAAATCAATTGCACCTGAAATTAAAATTATTACAATTAAAATAACAGCCTACAACGTTATTATTGTTAGAACGTGAAATCGCACCTGAAGTGGATGTCGGGGATTGGGGGTTGCTGTTATACAATTCTGTATAGTAGTAATTAAGTGTGAAATTCTTCAGGTAGATATATTCCGACAGTTTATAAATATAAAACGCTTCGATTGCTTTCTTTTAGAAAATTATAACCCCTGGTACTATTGACTTTTTAATGTCTACTATGAGCTATAGCATTACGTCCTAGGGAACGACCAAAGGAGATCAACGTTGTTAGAGCACATTGATTACTCCACATTCTGCACACTAGACACGGATGCCTCAGTTTGCCAGACTTAGCCGTAGTGTCGCCTATTGTAATAAATGTCTTGATTTGCAACCTGTAATTTCTCTTGGTTCAAACCATCTTCCCACAATTGCCTTTATTTTCCTTAATCATAGGAATGCCCACTGGACAGAATTCAGAAAGTTCACGAAACTTCGCTTCAGGGAACGACCTAACCCTTCATATGCCCGGGTAGTAGAAAGGATTCATCAGAGGGGAAGTCGCTCTCTATATACCTGCCGGTAAAATACCCGCAATGACACTAAAATTGCCCAACAGAGGCATGACCGCTATACGTTCAGTGACCTTATGAGGTGTGTCGGCCACTTTAATCATCAATTTTTGCGATAGGGGGAAGAAAGAGTGCTGCATCGCACCTCCGGCTCGGAACTACCATCACAGTTAACAATGAGTGATGTTGCAAATGTTATCTGTATCGCCAAATTCTGTATCGTCATCAAATTTTAGATTTATATAAAACTTTCGACTATCACTTTTTTAATAGATGTAAAAGCAGGGTGCTCTGGAATTACAAACATTTTTAAACATTAGAGCTATCAATTTTATATAACTTACTTCAGGGTTCGTAAGAATGCTTTCTAAAATGTTTTGACTCAAGTCTCTCCAGATCTTAAAACGCCTATACCTTCTCCTCTCTTTTCGCAATTTGAATTTGTAGTCGGCCCAGCCTTTAATCCAATCTTCCCCTGTACGAGCCGAAAGTCTAAAATATTGATTTTCGAATCTAACTTACTCCACACCTCTTTTATTTATATTTTTATAAACTTCACCTCAATATTCGTAGACTCTATTTATATTTTTATAAACTTCACCTCAATATTCGTAGACTCTATAAAGTATATACATTCAAAATTAGCATAAAATTCTAAGCAGATTTAACGATGTCCGTCTGTCTGCCTATTGAAATCACGATATAGCCCACATTATTTGACGAAGAACTTTAAAATTTAGCACATATTTCTTATTATGTTAAGAAAATACTTAACATAATAAGAAATATGACTTCTTCGAGGAATCTTATAGGCAAAGGGTACAACTGCATTTACATGTTAAGGCGTGAGCTACCTAATTGTTAACATGAATGCATATACAAATTTGATGCGTATATTCTTCTTAATAAAAACCAAATTTTTTCCGGATAAAATGTCAATATGGCTATTAAACGACAGTTCACTACTAGGAGTAACACCAAGAACTTTATGGCGTTCGACAAAGCCAATAATATTATTTCCCAAAAAAAATTAAACAGATTCTGCTTTTCTGGACATGCCAAACAACAGAGCTTTAGACTTTGATGAGTTACTGTTAGATAATTTCCTGATGCCCAATTCGAAATTTGATGGAGCTACGTGCTGATAGTTTTTTCTAATAAAGATAAATGATCTCCTCGGCTAGTAAATAATAAAAATAGATCATCAGCACACTGAAATGTTGTACAAAATTTCAAGTCAATGCAAGCACATAAATCATTTACATAAAGAATAAATGACAGCAGAACTAAGACGGAACCTTGCGGTACACCACTGTAAAGGGAAAGCAGATTAGATTTAATGTTATTGACAGAACTGAGTCCTTCCCCTAAGGTTTGAGCTCATGCAGTCAATGAAAAATTAAAGCTGTGTCTTAAGTTGGTAACCATGGGGGCAAAATTATTTGAATTGAAAGCTTTTGAAATATTAAGAGATATCAAAACATGAATGAACCAAAAGAAAAAAATTGTATTCAGGGGTTAGCTTTGTTTTACCTTCTGTAATTGTGTCATGGCATAGACAAATGAAGACATAGACCGAAAAGTTGGTTTTGTATTTTTATCCAGGTGGCTCTCATCATGTTTTGCATAGTCAACATGCTGATTTACGCGTTCAACCCAATCGACTTCGAAAACACATTTTATCATTTTTTAGGCATTTCAATTGATTATTCCGGAATTTTTCGATGTCATCAAGTATTTTTCACTTTTATTTTATTATGGAACAATTTTCAACTGACAAATATCCTACAGTTTTTGTTATTTTTAACATTTTAGAATTGACTGACTTCAATATTCCCACTCAAACCCTGAAAAGATATAGACGACATCTGCTGATACGATTTTTTTTCGAAGATAAACGGTGAGAGCATTTCGTTGTCTATATCTTCATTTGTCTATGGTCATGGTTTTTTCCATGGTAGAAGAATATAGGTAGACGCATCGACACAGCTGCTGGGACAACGAACTGTCAAACCAATTTTGGAATTGAAAATGTTGAATGAAAAATTATTTAAATTTGCAAAAATTGTTGAAAAACACGAATTATAATAACCTCCGAAAGACGTCGTATAAGAAAACATATTAAAATCTACTTATATTTTAAAGGACATTTAAATTTTTTTGACATATCAATGCTCCCAAGCGTTGATGCATCTACTGTATTCTTCTGCCATGGTTTTTTCTCTTTGCTCCAGTTTATTATTCGTATAACACATTGTTTAGTTTTCACAGATGAGCTATTGTTTGTTTGAAGAAAAAAGTGGTTTTCAAGAAAAAAATGATGTGGCAACACTTTGTTGGCTACGTCAATTGAGAGACCATTAAAATTTTAAATAAAAATAAAAAGATAAATGTGTATTTGTCACTAACACAATATTTTTATTACTTAAAAGTATTTTGAGAGTGTTTTAAAGTCACAAGTTTCCATAAAAATAAAATTTCACTTGCAAAAACAAAAGTGGTTTCAAATCGAAGAAATGTTGCGATTTACATTTTCTGAAAAACCTAAATACGAAATTAAAATCACTTTCGTGCCGAATTCGTTCCTGTGGCATGCCTGTATATATCGTTTAATGCTGATTTAATTGAGTTCTGTTCAGTTTGATTGTTTGAGATGAAGCCATGAAACTTGGCATTAAGACTGCGGATCTCATCAGCTATTCATTTCATTTCATTTATTTACCTTACAAAGAAATATAAATAAGCCCATAGGGCCCATAACTTATATTATCTATCTACAATACCCTAACATAATACAAATTCAATGATTAATTCAAACTTAACAAATAACATATTAAACCTAATAATTTATCTTAATAATTCACGAGAAGCTCGAACCCTACACCTCGATTCACCATCACCAACTAAACAATAGTCTAGTAGAGCAGTGAAAAAGTGTAGCAGAAACGAGCTAAAAATAAGAGAGAACTATTTTATTACTCACAAAACAGAGTATAAATAGTAACTCACATTATACCCTACAAATAAAATTATGGCTATTCCGCCAAATATAATTAAGTAAATATTAACTATCAGCAGCAACAGTAACGTATGCCGGCAATTGTAAGTAGAATATACAGGCTGAGCTATAAAAACTGCAACAGAGTCAAACGCCATAATTTTTACATTTTTTTTATTGAATGAAAGCAAAACATGTCGGAAATGGCATCAAATTTTAAAATAAGTTTAGATTTGTTCGAATTGGTCACCTTTGGCACGAATCATGGCCTTCAAACGGCCAATGAAACCGTCACACGCTGCCCCAATGTTGCTCTGCTGTATTTTGGCCCATTCCCTGCGAAGTGCTTGCTTGGGGTGATCGACACTTTGGTATTTTTTAGTGTCAACCTAGCCTTCCAAAATACTCCAGACACAATAGTCCAACGGATTTGTATCCGGAGATTTTCTGCTGATGTTGCTGTTTTCTTCTGTCCACTTCCTTGACGTCGGGCTACGCTACCAGTATTACGGTAACGAGAGATGGTACGAGCTGGCATTTAAATGCTGGAGTGTTCTAACGATAGCCACTTGTGGTTTTCCAGCCAAATATAAAGAAATCACACTATCACGCTTGAATTCCATCACGAATACATTTTTTCTAGAAAATTCTCATCAAAATGCTTTTGTACGTTTGTAAACAATATAATGAACTGTCACTGGAATAATATTAACAGATATCGGACGAGTGGCTTAGAAATGACAGAAGTCTGAAGTTGCTTGCATTTTTTTTCTTCTCAACCTGTATACCGAGTTTTTACATTTTTCTTTGCAAGAGAATAAGGACCGTTGCAACACACAGGCGCAGCCTCCAATTTTGCAAACACTGACATATTTGAAACCAGATTTGTTTTTATAACCCATTTCCTTTGACGTGCTTGCTAACTTTTTTAATTTTGTTTACAATTGTAATCAAACCTCATACATTGTACCAAATTTTCACATTTTCAAGGTTTTATTATTTTTTTTAGTTTTTCGTTTTTCGAAAAGACTTTAAAAAATGTTTACCTTTTACATCAAAGATTCTTTAAAATCTTTCATTTTGAAGTTTGCCGAGGAGGATATTAGTAAAACCATTGCACAATGGGCTCACATAGGCTATTTCAACGTCTCCATGAGTAGACCCTAGATGCAACAACAGTGACTTAAATATCAAATTTGAGGATTCCAGCCCTACCCCTTCACCTCATACTAAATTTAGTAACATTTAGTACGGATGTCCAGAATAATCAGCTTTATCCCTTCACCCAATAAAAAGTTAAGCTCAATTTTCGATCAACTATAGTACGCATTTCCAAACCCACCTCTAATTGTCATCCCCATATACCAACCGTTATCTAACACTCACACAGTAGCGGGTTCCACAACACCGGATTGATCCGAAATAACATCAAAGTTTCGGCCAGCGGCTACCATCTCAGCGTTTACATGTTCGTGTTGGTTGATTTTCTGTTTTGTAGAAGCAGATCCCGGATTCTTTTGGTCCGTGCCGAGATTGATGAAACTCCTGGACCCTGTACGGTTTGTCAAAACATAATCAATCATGGATCAGTTCCGCTGCGATGTAATGGATGCAGAGGATGTGTGCATTTTAAGAACTGCTCCGGTCTAACCGGTTGCGAGATTGTAGCGATAGGGACTAGGTTGTATCGTGCTGCAACAATTTAGTCCCAACGAGTCCGTGTCTTCGTCGTCAACTTCCAAGTCGTCGTCACTCCCCCGCAGTCTCCTGTACAGCAACCTTTACCGCAGCACATAACGCCACATGTTGCGGTTCAAATTTCGGATGATGCATCATTCAATTGCAACGGAGGTAACATTGATGAGATAGCGTTGTTTATGAATCGGAGGAATATCTTGATCACTGCGGTGCAGGTAACCACCGGTTAATAGCGATGAATTACGTTATTTGCCTAACATAAGCGCGCTTTTGGAAGGCAATAACCGCCTGGTACTAGGGAATTTCAATGTCCACCATGAGTTGTGGCATTTCGTCCTAGGCAACGACCAGAGGGGATCAGCGTTAGCAAAGCAGATCGACTGCTCCACATTTTGCACGACAAACGAGAATGCTACCCACCCGAATAAGAGGGGATTGTCACAGTTCGGCAAATTTAGCCATTTTGTTATAAATGACGGACTTGGCAACCCGTCATTTCCCTTGGCTGAAACAATCTTCCGATAGTCGTCTTATCAGCAGATCGCCTGATTTCGTAATCTCTGAACGCCACATTTTCCTTAACAATGGGAAAGCTCACTGGCCGGAATTCCGAGAGTTCGTCATCCTTCGCTTCAGATAACTGCCCAACCCTTCTGTTTGTTCGGGTAGCGGAGAGGATTTTCCGGGACATCACCAAAGCTACAGCTGCTTGATATATGTCTGCTGTCAAATACCCGTGATAAGAACAAATTTCCCAGCAGAGGCAGCGGGACTAGCGAATGAGCGTGATGTGCTCCGGCGTACAAATCCTACTGATCCCAGAGTCACTGAACTGACAGTGGAAGTCATCAGGTTGGTACAAAAGAAAAAGCAGAAAAAGTGGCTAGACCATCTCAAGTGTTGCAATATTGGAACCGATATTAGTAAACTGTGGGTAACGTTTAAGTCACTCTCGAACGCTGGAAAGAAAGAGAATAGCAGACACTAATCCGAAGAGGTGCGCAAAGAGTACTACGTCGCACAGAGGGGTGAAATCACAAAACACGGAGATTAATTCGTCTTTTGGAATAAATGTTTTTAAACTATTATAGAACACTAAATTCTATATCTGTACCAAAAATTTTAAAGTCATACCTTGTTTAGTTTTCTAATTACAAAGTGGGAAAGTTAAAAAATATTTCATTTTTCCCAAGAAGAAGGAAAAAAATTATCCTTGGTTTTTTGATGTGCAATAATTTAGTTTTTTTTTTTTTTTCATCAAAAGTGATCATTTTAAAATTGAAACATCGAATACAGGTTGTTATCAGTGTTTCTGAATAAAAAAGTTTTAAAAATAATGATGTCAAAATATTTTAAAAATTAATTTAAAATATACCATAATTTTGCCATATCTGAAAAGTATATGGAGTTTTAAAAAAATAATATCGAGTAGGTCTTAAAATTTTAATTTTTTATTTTAGTATGGAGTCATCTTTCATAATCAACAACAACAAACTCGTGCCGTTTTTGCCGTTTTTGATTAATTTAAAAAATGGTGAAAATAGTCAACTGATTCTGCGGGGAATGTACTTTCATCTAGTTCTCTGTTTTATTTGTTTTTTTTTTTTTTGCTCTTTATTAAATAAGTTTCTCTTGCGTTTTTATACTGTTATTAACTGGAATTCCAAACTATATATAAATATTCCAGTCTCTTTAAAAAGTCAGTGGTGAGGTTACTTGCCTCACCCTCAATTTCAACTGATGATTCAGTTTAAGACAATGAGAGAGATTTAGGGGAGGATGATTTTTCTATTTCAGATCGGAATTGCCAGCCAATTTTGTATACATATTTTTTTATAATTATTCCTTTCTCATAAAAATATGTAGTCTTTTTGTCTTCGGATTTAAGAAGGTTTTACAAAGGATAAATTATTTTTCTGGCTTTACCCAAATTTTGGTTTTTATGGTCAATTTCATTGGGAAACAAAATACCAAATAATAAGTTTAAAAAAACTCCGTCTGAAACCCTCAAAATACCTAATATTAGGAAATACCTAAAATTTGGAAGTGCCGTTATATATGGTCAATATCTAAAATTTGGAAGCTCCGTTATATATGGTCAATACTAATAGTGGATTTATCTACACAAAATTAAGCAGGGAGTGCTTTTGTCCTCTCTGAACTCAAAATGTTAAGATACTCATGATTGGGTGTGAAATTGTGGCCGAAACCTTCAAAATACCAAAAATCAGGAAGTAACGTTATATGGGGGCCTCATCGAAACGTGGACCTTTATGTCCCATTTTTAATGCCAAACTTATTAGAGGTAATATGAATGTCTGAGCAAAATTTCAGAGCGATAGAATGCTTCCCTGAATTAATCTTCGTTTTTGGGCATCTCACCCTACTGTGCGCCGTATGAGATCTCTTCAGACCGAGAAGGTACCACCACAGTTTACCATGAGTGAGTTTACGCTAAGTCATCCAAAGCGTTGGGCCAAGAGGGAATATCAATGGTAATGTAGAAGTAGCTGGATGCACCTGTCGTTAGCCATCCACATAGTTCCCGAATTCGGGAAATTGGGCTACTGAAGCCAGCAAGAATGTCAGCAATGTCAGAATCATGCAGGTCAATTTCGATTTTGTCGCCAGTAGCTAAGTCTCTCGAGGCTTTACTCCTCCCCAGCAACGGAGGAGTTGCCCAGTTGCTACCCATGAACATGGTATTCGTCCACAACACAGTACCAGTCAACTATATGCGTGCGTAGAATTCCGAATCAAGAAGTCTAGACTCGTAGAATGAAACAGAGAGTTCGCCAAGGTGGATGATATCTCCAGAACTGTGTTAACTCTACCTTTCCGGAATTTCGCGACCTCCAGACGGCATCGAGATCGTAACTTATGCGGATGGCTGCACGATCAAGCGTCGGGTCCTGTCGTTGATCCCATATATTAGGGTGAACAACTATCTCGCGGAGATTACCGCCTTCTTCCATGCGAGGAATATTAACGACCACAATATTTACCACATGGACTGCGGAGATAAGAAGACAGCTGAATGTGCAGGTAGAGCGGTACATATTTCCGGCCACTAACTACCCCTAAATCCTTGGGTATATTCGACAGCATGTTCAAGTCGTCGTAAATGTCAAATTTCAGAATTGTGTCTTTATCCCTATCTATGTTCAATCAAAACCAAATTTTAGTACCATTTGCTACTTTTCATCGATTATATTACACACTTCCAAAACCACCACCATATGTCAAGGCTAAGCATGAACAGCGACCCTAATACAAAATTACCAAATTTAGTACCATTTAGTAATGTTCGTACATATTTCCAAGACCAACTTAAATTCTCAAACCTACAACCTGCAGGGATCCCAACTTCAAAACTTCGAGATTCCGGCTTCTTCCATTTACCCTAAACCTAACTGTCCCAAATTTAGTACCATTTAGTGTAAATTTCTAAAACCTCTTTCATATATCAAACTTACTTTTCAACATTGATTCTTATACCTAATTTCCTTTTTAGCTCTTTCTGTTCACATAATACCTAATGGTACCATTTAGAAGGATCTTTTCGTAACCTTAAATTTTGAATTTCTCGCCCTCCATCAGACTTCTACCTCATTCCGTTTGTCCGATGCAAAGTGTTCAATTTTTAGTACTTAGTACCCTTTTAGTTCGAATTTCCAAAAAACCCAGTCTTTTCACACGCCTACGCACCAAGCTTCAGCCGTAGAAATGCACTCAAAATTGTTTAATTGTCCAACTCATGGCAAAGCCGCTTGAATTGATATTCAGTTGTAATTAATTTTCGTGTTCACTAGGAAAAATTTGAAATCAGATGCTGGCTCTACAATAACTCTTGTTATCGTACCTTGGAAATACATAAAATGACATTAAATAACACACACATTCACATATATTATACGTTTAAATTTGAAAGTTTGTTATATTTATTAATTAGAGTGAATTGATTGTAATTATATTTCATTTAAATTTATGATGTTTCATTTTTTCAATAGGTCTTGATAAATTGGTGATTTAATAATAGAAATCGTAATTTAATTGAATGCTATTAATTTTACATGTTGTCCACTGTTCATAAATTCTAGTTAATATTCTCATTTATCGGTTTGTTAGTTGTAAGGTTTATAATGTATGGTATTCTTTTAAACTGTTTTATGTCATAATGGTTTCCTATGCCAACTCATCAATTAATCTAAACTAATTAAATGTTCGTTTTGTTAATTTTAATGTTTAAAAATACGTATAACGAATTTTTCGTAAATGTACAACCAAAAAACTAAAAATGAATACAAGAAAAATTATGAAGTATTGAATTGCAATCAACGCAATAACAATTTACTGCTAATTATAAAATAATGTACTTCTAGTTGTATTTTTGGGTTTAAAACTAAAAAAAATATAATATAATTTTTTGTTTCGTTTTTTTTTTTTCATGATAAAATGAATTTAACTAAAAAGAAATTTTCTAGGACCATCATGGTAAAGTTAAATCAAAACTCGCTTCGTAAACTTATATTTATTAAATTACAAATATTGCACTCGCATTGGGACAAATAGTGTTTTTTAGCAAATTCTGTGTCCATCGAACCACAAAAACCCCTGCCCCATTCTTTCACTATTAATGCTGTCTTCATTGGAAAAAAGAGGTAAAATATAGAAATGTTTTTGCCAAATATTACGGCAGCAAATAATTTGTTTAAAGTGGGACTTGTACAGTTTTAAATACATTTCATTATGATCCAAAGCTTCAAATATGATGGAATGTCGCATTATACAAGTTGTATGAATGCCAAAGACATATAAAATAAGTAATTACAAAAAATATAAGTTGAAGAAAATATTTGATCTCGGTTCGGTGTAGATATTGTAGTTATTCTCTATTTTAATTGACCGATCAATCGCCTTAGCAGATGTTACCAGCACATAGATTTTGCTTCAACCAATGTGTAATTTAATTTAATTTTTAGACCTCCACAATGTTTGCAACAGACTATGTAAAAAAAGAAATGAATTGTATTTATGATGGATTTTGCTAATATATAATTAATACTTTAAGATGTGTAATGTGCTACTAGTAATATACAAGAACTCAACTAACATACACATTTGCACGATGAACATCATCACTATTCCATTTGAAAATGTTATATCATCGTACGTTAGCCCTAAATATAATTTTTCTTAGCTCCGATTTCTAAAAGGGAAAAATTAAAAAAAGAACGCACACACACGTGGCCGACACACAATAACGGTGGTTTAGACTTCTACCGTAAACGGATCCCGTGAATGATGTATTTTAAGATGTTTATTGTGATTGGTTTTTGTTGTCGAACTTTTGCCACAAATCGTACATTGGAACGGCCTTTCTCCAGTATGAATTCGCCTGTGCTCTATCAGGTAGTAGTGACGATGAAAAGATTTCTTGCACAGATCACAGGTGTATTTTTTATTGCCATGATGTTCTCGTCTGTGACGCATATAATTGTATTTGCGGATAAACTTGCACCCGCAAACTTCGCACGTGTATGGCTTGATTTGTTTATGTGAGTTCATATGGTTCTTGAAGTCAACCTCGCGTACAAACGCTTTGGGGCAGTGTTCACATTTAAACGGTTTGGCGGTACGATTGGCATGTACCCAAGAATGAATCTTTAGGTTCCATTTGGTTGAAAATGATTTATTACAAATCGCACAGTCATATTGGGTCTCAGTGGAGTGGGTAGCCATATGAGCCTTCATAGATGCCTTGGCGAAAATTTGTTTACAGATAGGACACTCCATAGGTTCAGTATAATCGAATTTATCCGAATGAGCGAGACGTATATGACGCCGGAGCGAATTCACATGTACGAAACGGTCACAGCAATGAGGACAACATTTAGGTTTAGAGTCATGTGTTTCCTTGTGCCACAAAAATCGTGCTTTTGAGGGCAATACTTCGCCGCAATAGCACACGTATTCCTTTCGACGCACTACTTGTTTAGTGTGACGTTTACGATGCTGGGTAAGATTAGAGTAGCGTTTGAAGTGCTTACCTGGGGAAAAGACAAAAGATGCAGATTAAAATTTAGTGGCAATATATTAAAAAACTATTTAATCCGAACTCACCACATATTTTGCATTTTAATGGCGATAGACCGGAGTGCATTCGCATATGTTCGACTAAGGCGCTGCGCACCACAAACTTTTTATCACAAACCGTGCAACCAAATTCTTTCCATCCAAGATGACGTTTTAAATGCAATGAGAAGTTCTTCCACCTTTGGAATTTTTTCCCACACGTAAAGCACTCAGCTGGATGTTCAGTTAAATGAGCATCGTACAACTTCACAGAATTAAAATTTTCACGACAAACATAACAAAAGAATATGGAGGATTTAATCAGAGTTTCATCAAACTCAGATAATCTTTGACTTTGCTTTAGCGTGGTCATGTTGTATGTAACCAACATCCGATAGAGTGTCGTCAATTTGTTCGAGGCTGTGGTAACGGACAAGGGTTTAAAATTTGAAGCTTGTTTTGTATCTACGCCCAACTGATCGGAGGCTGAAGAAGAAGCTGTTAATGGTACCAGAGACAAATTGTTTTTGTCGTCCTCAACAAATTCGGTTTTTGCGTTCAAATCGGCACTGATATGTTCAAAACCAGACACATCACGGTGGGCATTTTCATTTTCTATCTTAACGATGCCCTGCTTGAAATCCCCATCTGCATTTAAATCTGAGGATGCCAATAATACATTGGCCCCTCTACTAGTCGTAGCGGTGGCAGCATGATCTGACATAGACACAGCCATTCCATTTGTGAGACACACAAGACGTCTATTTTGACGAACATAATTGTGGGAATCCACTAAATGAGCATTACGATCTTTGAGTTTCGAATATTTGGCATTGCAGTGGCTACACTCATAAATTTTAGTACGTATTCTCTGTTGTTGTGATCCACTAGATGAAGAAGGGGTTATTTCGATTGCTTCGGCGTTCGGTGGACCAGCCAAGAGCGCTGACGATGTACTGGGTAAATGTTCCTGTTGGAAATTATAGTCAATGGCCTGCATTTCCCCCTGTCCTTCCATTAGCTGCTGCGAAGTAATAGTTGACGTCGGTTGCACTCGCCTTATACCAGATGCAGACGCTTTGCCATCTTGAGAGCTTCGTTTTCGCCGTTTTCTAACTTTGGCCGACGTAGAGGGCATTACATCAATATTGCAATTATCATTGGAATTTTGAGAGAACATTGTCAATCCGCTGCTCGCACTGTTGTCTGCTACGACTGTACCATCATCCGGTGGAAGGCGAAAATCGAAACTGGAAATAAAATGTAATATATGTTGGAAGAGATGTGTTATTAAAAATAAATATAAGTAATGGGGTTACGAAACAACCTTTTCGTCCTATCTGTTTGAGACGTCGTTGAAGCACTTAAATCCTGAACAGCAAAATATTCTTCGTGGTTCCAGCCATTATCCTGTTGAAATATCCCGGGAAAAGTGGTTTTAAAGAATCGGGCGGAAATGTCTCCGTAAATCTGTGAAAACAAAATTAGTTGTGAAGATAGTGCCTAATGATACAATGAAATTGTTTATTTACCGGTTGACTCCAGGAATTATCTATGTCACAATTGCTTTCCTGTTCAGAAATCTCGCCTTTAGCAGGCATTTTTTCATCAGTACGTATATTTAAAGTGCCGGCAGTTGAGCAAATGCCCGCCATGCTATTTTCAGTAAATGAACAGGATGTCGATGAAGATGGGGGCGGAGGAGGCGGTTCAACGGTCTTCCCACATCCATCAGTAGGCTCTGCCACAGACTCGACATTTCTTTCCCTCTTACATTCGTCCAAATCCAAATATTTACCAACTTCGTTTGCGTCTGTTGCAGAATTGCATTCAGCAGCAGACATATGTAAATGTACATTCGAATTTGATTGATTTGATGAAGGAACAACACCTGCTTCTGTTGTCGCCTGGTAGTTATTGAACCATTGATTTTCCAGGTTTGTTTCCATTGGCTGCTGCTGGTTTTGGTTGTAATCTGAATAATTTTTGCTAGACATTGAATCATCTAATATCATAGATGAACTTCCTGTATTGTTACTAGTAGCGGAATTGCAGTAAAGTGTACCCATTTGCCGTGTCGAATTCTTAACATCCACTGTTTGGTCGTTAGTGCTGATATGGCTATTGTTATTGTTATTGAGATAGTTAAACGGAAAATCAGGAAATATTTCAGAGCAATCGTTATTATCGCTTGAAGAAGCTGTCGAAGCTTTATTCTGCACCTCTCCGTTTTTACTTGTTGCTTCCAGATGTGATGAGTGTACCAACTGTGCCTCATTTGTCGAATGTAAATTACAAACCTTGGATTCCGAAACATTCTCCTTATCCTTTTGATTTACTGTCTGATTTTTGGAAAATAAAGATGATGGTGACGGAAATGTTGACGGTTTCGAACTAGCTTGTCCTTTTTTTGAAGTTGCAAAATCATATAAGACCCGTGCATCCTCATTCACATTATTTTCAACTTTCATATCTTTTACATCGGTAGGAACATTTGTTTCCTGGATACACGGCTTTTCCTCCTTGCACAGCATAATAGGCTCTTTCGAAGTCAGCTGCTGTTCCAAAATACTGCTGTAACCAGTTGGTTGAGTATACTGATTACTTTCAAATGCTATGGAAGTTAGGGGTTCATTTTTAACCTGAACTTCTGGCTCGTTGACAGATTTTTCTTGAGTTCGCAGCGATAATTTATTGTATTCTTCTAAAGCTTTGGCAGATGTCGATGGTTGTTGGTCATCAAAGTGAAAATCGTTAGATGAAGTCTTGGAAGATTTTGGCTTAATAACGAGTTTCTTAGGGCCTTTGCGTCCCAATGTTGGTAACCCTAATGAGGTGGTTTTGTTCTGTCCAGTAATAGGCAAATTCCGCTGATGTTGGGATAGATCTTCCGCCTCAGTTTTACTCTCATTGCTATCTGAAGTGTTTTCATTTGATCTAACTATGGATTGCTGTGCATTTTGTTGTTGTTGTTGTTGTGATTGTTGTAGACTAGTGGTTGCCATACGTATAACACTGGTGACTTGACTGGAGTTTGGTATTAATGACGATATTATTTTACTACTATCTGAATTATTCTCTAAAATCTGAGGTTTTTTCTCGTCCTTTTCCAGTACTGTTTGATCTGTTAAGCTTATTTTACTGCTTTTATTATTAGTACTACTACAGCTAGGATTATCAGTTAATTCTTCAGTCTCTTGTTTGTTGGCCTTTAATGGTGTAGGTGGTAGTGTGTGTTGTTCTGCAGTATCAGCCGGCGTCGTTGCGTAATCGTCCATTGGCTCTTCCTTTTCAATTTTCACCAACGGTATAGGCGCAATTGCCGTTAAAGTTCTGCGCTGTGCGGCAACTTTGCTGGAGGCTATTATATTTCCAACCAAATCTAAATATTCATTCAAGTTCAGTTGTACATCACTTAAAACGGTAATTGTATTTTTCGACGATTTTTTGCGAGTCGTGTTGCTGTTTTGGTGAACTGTTGATGTACTATTTGATGCATTTGACGTGGACACAGCGGTAGCCGAATGTGTCTCTAAGTTCGTGGGAGATGGATGTTGTAACCTTGGTGCAGATGCTGATGTTGATGGTGTTGGAGGCAGAGTTTGATCTGATTGATTTTTCTTTATCTTTTCGGTGGTATTTTTGTTCGTCTGACCATTTCTTTCGTGTGAAATAAACTCCTCCTCGTCACTATCGCTCGAAATACTAACGAAATCTTCAACCTCATTATCTGATGACGTTGAACTTTCGAACTGCTTTAATTTTCTACTCTGAGCCTTAGAGTCAATTGACATTTTATTTGTATTTGCCGTTTGGGAATTGTTGTCATTCTTGGTCGATTGGGATGAGATTTTCTTTTTCGGATGCTTAATATTAGCATCCTTGGCTTCTTCTTTTGAATCCTTAACAATAACCTCATTAGTACAGGTAGGGGTGTTATTTCCATTTGCCGAACTTCCAGTTTTATCATCGTCTTCTTCGTCATCATCTGCATCGTCATGAATATGTAAAACGCTAGGTGGGGATTGGTAGATGCGTTCAATTACAGAAAACTCTCCGTTATCTTTTTCAACACATTCTACAATATGTTTAGGTGTTTCCTGTACAATAAAGTCGCCGTTATCCCTTTCCAAGTAATGTGCTACCGGAGATTCAGCATATCTTAATACAGATGATGCTGCGGAAGGCGATGCTGCCGCTAATAATGCTGCAAATGGCGAATTAGTGGGACGATTCAATGTCGAAGCTGTAACAACAGCCATTGAAGCTGAAGCTACGGCCGGATTGATTCCTACATTTGGTTGTGCTGAATGCGAAATATGTGCAGCCGAACCACTTCCATTCGCCGTTGATGCTTTTATCGTTTTTTCTTGACTGTCGTTTGCAGTTGGACAATTGTTATATAGAGCTGAATTTTCTACACTAATTGGTTGTTGTTGAAGCGAAGGTAAAATATATTTTCCATGTTGATGTTGCTGGTGAACATTGCTACTTTGTCTCGATGTAGTTTGAGATGAGAGAGTTGAAGATGTTGTTTGGGGAATGTCATTTGTTTTAGAAAACAAATGTTTTGTGGCTATAGGATGTAGTTGATGCGCCACGTTGCCATGCATTCTAATATGATGGGGATGTGTTGCCTGCTGCTGATGCAAATGATGTTGTTGATGCAGTATTGCATCTGCGTTTGAAGTAATGGATGTGTGATGATGCTGTCCAGCAAACTGGCCGTTTAGTTGGTGTTTGTTCTGAGATCTGATTTGACTAATGGCTGTTCCATATGCTGGTGGCGGTTTTTGGTGATGGTGTTGCAATTGAGATGGTTGCTGGTAACTACTGAAAAGCTGGAAAATTTAAAGAAATCTTTTTGTTTAACATGAATTTTAAAATTAAATGTGAAATATTACCTGGAGTGGTGGTGGCGGTGGTAAACCTGAGGCATAAATGACTTTCATATCCTGCTGGTGTTGAGGTGGGTGCTGATGATGTTGAGAGGTGTAAATATGGGGCTGTCGAGCATGCGAACTGTGATGTTGTTGTTGGCTATTTGACAACTGCTGGGCCTGTATTGATTGAAATACGGTTTGTATTGACTGAGATGACATACTCTGAGGCATCGGTGGAGGCGGTGGTAAAATTGTGCGTGGAATCTCTCCGTGTTGTCCCTGGGGCGCTGGAGGGGGCGGCATTTGTTGGTGCTGCTGGCTTCCCACAGTACGATGTTGGTTTTGAAAACGTGGATTACCAAATATACCGAAATTAGGATCTGTATTAGCTGGTACATCATTTGACGAGCTAGTGTAGGGCCGATGTGAATGAACGTATACTTCACTTGTGGCCTCCTTAATACTTTGATCTTTACTCGCGACAGGTGCTTCTTCTAACTTCAACGCCGATTTACAAGGTGTTTGCGACTCACTCCTACTATTGTCAGCAATGCTGGTATTCGAAAAATTTAAAACGTTGTTTGAATTTTGGCTTGTTGTATTGCTTTGGTTTGAAAGCGAGCAATTACTTGCTGAACTACTTATGCTTGCGTTACAGCTGTTACTGGTGCTAGCTATATTTGATTCAATAATTTTATCATTTGACGAGATAGATTTCTCCTCCTGTTCACTGGGAGATTTATTATTTTCGGCGCTGTTGCTACATGTACCCTTCAACACTGATGCCAATGCAGCTGTACCCCCTCCACTGCCACCGGAGATGGTCATTTGTACTAATGCTCTTATCACCTGCTCCTTCGGATGCGTCTCCAAGTGATCAGAGAGATTCATACCTGCGTGCAGGTATAAAGTGCATACCGGACATTGAACGTTCTCCCCCATTTTCAAAGAGTGAATGTTTGTTATGTGTGCTTGTTCAAGTTTTTTTCAGGTATAAAAATCTAAGCAAGGATGTACTACTGTTGTATCCCTGCGTATATTACTCGATTTGATTAGCTATTGTCAATCATAACGACTCATGTCTAGTGACAAACAATCTGCAAAAAAACATTAAAAGTACATGGAATTAAATTTAATGTATTATTGAAAACCACAAAATGTGTATATTGATGGAATTTTCGAACTAGTTTAAACAGTACTAATTTCGCTTATTAGTCGTTAAAAAATCTGTTATAGAACTGCAATCTACGACAATCGATTTTTCCTTTATATCGAAAAAAATTGCAAAACAAGTACATTTTTGCAGGTTCTGGAATAGATCATATATCTATCTGCCAAATTTTGCTCTGCTCCAGAACCTGCAAGAATCTACTAGTTTTGCAATTTTCTTCGATATCATAAGGGGAAATCGGTTATCGCAGTGAAAACTTTTAAATTCATAAAGTTCTTGAACAGACCATTTGTTAACTTTTGCAGCGTTACCTAAAATTCAACGTACCCGGTCGACGTATTCAACTACCCAAGTAAAACACATGCATTTATGTGACTGTTATTCAAATACGTCGGGTGACAATATTACAATTGGGTGAATTTAAAAAAGTATCAATTTTTACAACCGTAGGGTCCCTGGACACCGCAACATATCTGGCATTGATTGGCTGGTGAATTGGCCAGGCGCGGATCTGAGTCAGTAGATCTAGAGATTGAGAGCTCAGTGAAGCCACCTTTATGACACTTCTTCCAAGTACTGCATAACATTACCTTGGGAGATTTCAACAGAACTGACTAACTGGAATGGGATGTAAAGTTTACAAATAGAAAATCGTTCTGAAACATTTCGCAAGCATTTTTACTTACGTGGATCAGAGGGAAGATACATTACCAAATACAATACATCTTGTAAATAATATTATAAAAATGGTTTGTGATAACAATTTTTAAACAATGCTTTAGAAATACTTTTGTTTCACAAGCTTTTCTCAAATCTGTTATTTGTTTATATTTTTTGTGACAATTGTCAGCTGAAAATGATTTTCTTTTGGTAAAAAACAAAATCACGTGAATTAGAGACCAAATTTTTAAGATAATGATGAATATTTTAAAATAACTCCTATGACAAAACTTTTTGTACCCAACTGACGAGATCATATTACTTAGTTTAAAATAATTCTTTGATTCCTCTCTATTGAGCTTATGATCTTGCCACTTGGGTTATTTCTTCATAGGAGTTAAAAAAGGAACTAATGAGGATTTGTGCCTCTTCCGAAACCTAGTTATTCCCTGCCTTACCCCCTGGTAAACATTACCATCTTTATCCGCAAATAAACAAACGTTGTTTTTACAAAAACATGAATAATGTAATTAAGCCTGATTACTTTGAAACAACAATATATTACGGTATCCCAAACAAACATGCCATTACTGTTCTAGTAATGATTAATATTAATCTGTGAATCTGTGGTATACCTTATTTCTATCTCATTTCAGACTGGATGCATCAAAACAGTAAGCCGTAAGCTTATTCTACAATTACAAGTATAAGTCTATACATAAGGGTTCAATTGCGATTATTGTGTATTTGTTACACAACCATTTTTCAATCTTTTCCCAAAATTTTTCAAACTTAAGGCTTATGTTCTTGAGTTTATTGTAATATTATTCTCAAGCCATTTTGGTATGTTGAGATGTCTAAACTGTAGGTTTCTTTAGTGGGGATATACCAAAGGGTGGACCCATGTTCATAATTTTTATAGCGAGTTATGCTACCTATTTGGAACTAATTAACCCACATTATCAGGATTTATTCAACTATACAAAAATAGATCTGCCCACGACCGGATTCTAGCTAATACCTAACACATGTATTTATATGAAAGTATTCCAAATACTTTGGACATACAAAATGTTATAAACGAACAATTTCAACATTGACAACTGAACAGTATCCTTTTTATGTGTAGAAAATAAAAATGAATAATGGTGAATTGGTGAATTTATATATTATCAGTTTTTACAACGTAAGTAGTTGGTAGTATGGTACAATAAGGAGGTAGAAAAGCTTCGAAAAACTAAAACAGCTTTGAGGCTATGCCCGCTTTTTGCCAGAATTATTCAAAATTATATGCACCAACTATTCTTCTTTATTTTCAATTTAATAATCCAAATTCCCAAAATGTATATTTTTGAAATTAAAATAAATTATTGAAAATTAATTCTTTTGTTAACATTTTTGAATACATAACTCTGACACATGCATTACGTACAAAAACAAATTTGTATGTGGTTGTTGTTACGATTGTTCTACAACAACACTTGCTGTTACCTGTATTATTCTACCATGACAAAAAATGTACAAATACGTTCCGTCAGTATTAAATTTTATTACTTCATTTGTTATTTTATTTTTTGACAACAAAATTTAATATTTTTAAATTTTTTTCAATTTTGGTTAATTTTAATGGATTTACGGAATTTAAAGAAGATTTTTTTCAATTATTAAAATTTTGTTGTAATTTTATTTGGATGCCTTGCGTATTTGGATATTTTCGTGTTAATCATTTTACCATAGTAAGGAAGTTGAAATTTTTCTACGGCACGTTGGGTATTATGTAGTCCTGTAATTTGGCAATATTTAATAAAATTATAACATAGTTGCGATGGATACAAAAAAATCATAATCAATCGGTAACTCTATTCAAATCAACCAATTTTCACAAATGGTTAAAAAAGTACATTCAATTCATGGTACAATGAATTCAAGGTAGGGCAGAACTACCATATGATTTAAATTTTATTTTTTCTGGCTTAATATGTCAACTTCATTTGCTTATGTGTGTGTCTTCTTTTCAATAATAAAAAATTGTTCAGAAAATATTCAAATTCGGGTGTTTTCAAAATGCTTATTGCAACGAATGCATCGACAAAATCTAAAGTTTTTGTCGCGAAATAAACCATAAAGGATATATAGAACATGATATTGAAAAGAAATTTTGACCATTCATTCAGTTTTCGCGGTTTTAAATTATTTATTCAAAATCAATGCAACAAGTTGTTTGTTTTTTATTGTTTTGATAGTAATTCTGACATTACAAGCCAAACAAGTAGACCTCTATACTTGCAATTTTTTCAAAGTTGACCTACCTTCTCTTCATTGTACCATGATTCAATCTCTATTTTGAATATTCCATTTCAACCAACCGATAGACGTTCTGTCGCCTTGTCTATTATTCATTTATATTTTCAACTCACAGAAAATTGACAATGTTGAAAATGTTTAACTTTGAAATTTTATACACCCGATGTATTTGGGCAACTCTCGCGCCCGGCGTATTTGGGTAAATTCATATAAATACATGTTCCCATGGTACAATAAGGAGGTAGAACAGCTTCGTAAAATTACATTAATACAGCCCTGAGGTTATGCCCGCTTCCTCTCAGAATTATCCAAAATTATATGCATATGATCTTTTTTGTTCATTTTTAAAATGAGTCAAATAGCGCGAAAGATGAATGAAATGTCTGGATGTTCTCTCATAAATATGATCCTGAGTATTCAATCTTTCAATTCCATGGCAAATCTGGTTAATACCGTTAATGCGGCAATTAATTTTGAAAATATTTTGTTTTTATTTTTCAAAACAATAAATACACACACAAAATTGGCAGAAGTCGGGGACACTCAGAAAAAATATAATCAGCTGGTAGCTTTACCTTGCCTTTTAATTGTACCATGCATGTTCTGTTGTGAATCTTGGGTAACACTGTTCTTACCGATCTGTAATAAAGTTTCAATAAATTATTTTAATTTCAATTTTGTAATTTGGCTAATTAAATTCAAAATGCAGAACAAGTATTCTTGAAATGAAATGAAAATTTTAATGTTTTACATTAGTCCTCTCAATGTATAGTTGTCGCAAAAGCAACAATCACAAAAAATGAAATTAAATTACAAAACGTTATTTCGAATTTGACACTAGTATTACGGTAGAGTCAAATATGCTGTGTTTTGCCTGCATTGTCATTGTACTCTGATAGTTACGAAAATGTATCAATGTCGTTTTCTCTTTTGGCATAAGCCTTATATAACCGAAACTTGCGCTAAACTTTGGGTTCGTAACCGATTAAAAATCGTCTTAAAACCTCAACTATGACAAGTCCCCATTCTTCAAATGCTGTTAACATCTGAAAATACTTAAATCTCTAATGTACATAGAAATAGGAAAAACTCTAGTTTATAAAAACTATCAGATTTTTTGAAATTTTTACAGAGGTAGATATTTTACCCTAATTGCCGAGAACTTTAATGAATTTATGGAAAATTTGAATGTTCTTTAATAAATTCACGAACAAATATAAAACATAAATATAGGATGATTGACGCCCCTTTTAATGTATCTTTTCGCTGCATCTAGGGTGATCAAGAAAGTAGGCAAGACGCGATATACTTGTATTTCTATAATTTCGGAAAAAGTTAGATTGCGCATTTGCAGTCGAATTGACATATAATTCATGACAAGAAATTTGAAGCTTCAGCTTATCTCCTTGTACAAAGTACATATAGAATTGGCTTTAAATTAATTACGAGATTTGAAAACTTTAGATTCAGTTTAACTAAAGAATTTATAAAACAAATATTGTTTTAAAGAATTTTAAACATTTTCAAAAATTTATTTTGGCTGTTGTATTATATTTTATTATAAACCGTGAAACGATGGCTATACAACAACTATCAAAATTGAAATGGAATTAAATTACACTCGTTATAATGGATCGGATCTACCCTGGGCATTTTATCCGGATTTTCGGTTCAATATCCGATACACATGTCCTTCAGATGTTTAGCCAAAAGAAAAAATAAATAAACATTGACTTTTTTGGATATAGAATAAATTGCACCCGTTATAAGTAAATACTTAAGATATGAAAATAAATTTTATTGGAAAATTGACAAGACCGTGCACAATTTAAGACCATTTAGTACTTCGCAAAAATTAATAAAGATGAACAAATTGTTTGCATAGAACCGAATCTACGCTAGGTCTTATATCCGGATTATGGGTCCAATATCCGGGTACACGGGTCCGACCCAAAATATCACAATAAAAGCAAACTGATATTACAATATAACTAAATACTGTTGCATTGTACTGCACCTTTCCATGTGCATTTTCAAATTAGTCTATTTTTTCCAATAGAAGCAAAAATTAAAGTTTTTCAATATCCTGATGTAATTTCAAATAAATCCGTGCTTATAGCCGCAAATTACTAGTGAAAACTTTTCCAAGCCTCTACACAAGCGGGTGATGGTGCCTTTTACCCTCATATTTTATGACATTATCTGTTCATCCTACATTGCTGCCTCAGATAATTCCATTTCATTCTTCAATTTTTATACACAAAGCTCTGCATATTTCGTTAATATATTGAATTCGTCATTTTATCCAATTTCTTTTTTATCACTTAGTTCTCTACCATTTGTACCCATATTTCTAGTTGAACACTTTTCGTTGTACACCTACCTACCTATGCCACCTTCCAACTTCTCTTCCACATACAAAATGTATAATTATGACAACAACAATACAATGGCAGTAGATATATCCACCTTTGTGATTGATACAAGACGAGGCCACACAAAAGAATTTTCACTTGCAGTTTATACACTTTATTGCACGGAAATCCATTGCAATTTCATGCACATATTAAAGATTGTTTATTTCTTTATTCTTTTTACACTGTTAAATATTATTTTTTAACCATTTTGAAGACTTTTTCTCTATTTAAAATTTTTCACTTTAGAAAATGGAAAATTACGACAATGAATTCGTCGTCTGGTTCAGACTACAGAGTTAGTCTGTATTCAAGCCGGCAGTAAAACTTTTGACGGCGTTTCGATAGTGAAGTAGCACCCTGTTATTATTGCTCTGATATTGCACGCTGTTATTATTGCTCCATTTTTCGTTTTGCCAGAGTGCCAAGTTAAAGGTGCAGATACATAAAGAGCCTGCAAGACTTTAAGATTACTAAAGGCTTAAGTCATGGTAGAATGAAGAAGGTTAAGTCATGTAATCATATGTTTACATTTTTTTCAAAAATATTCATTTGACAACATTTCATTGCCAAAATTAAGGCTTGTAAATAAATTATATTATACCAGCCAGAGATGGAAAATGCTTTATATGACGAGAAATTTGACAAGTAAATTACAGAAAATGCAAAAATGTTCATGTATATTTGAAACGACTTTACCTTCTTAATTTTACCATGGCTTAAGTCAAACAAGTATAAATTACAGGCCAAAATGGAACAATGTCCACTTAAGCCAGCTTAATATGCGCTTTATGTATTCCCACCTTAAAGCTAATAAAAAACGTCTATGTATTCTCCCCTTAAGGTGTGAAGGTGAAAATACATAAAACGATTTTTGACTGGCTTAAGTCTCGAATTCTGCCGTCGTTTCCCTTTATAATTTGACATTAACAAGGTGAGAATACATAAAACGCCTTTCTGACTGGCTGAATAAGCCAGCCGATTTTGTCAATGAGAGGTTGTCAAATGAATCATTTTGAAAAAATTGTAAATATATAATTGCATGAACTTACCTCCTTCATTTTACCATGGCTTAAACAAAAAATTAAATATTTCTAGTTTAAATTGTATTCTCCCCTTAAGGTGTGAAGGTGAAAATACATAAAACGATTTTTGACTGGCTTAAGTCTCGAATTCTGCCGTCGTTTCCCTTTATAATTTGACATTAACAAGGTGAGAATACATAAAACGCCTTTCTGACTGGCTGAATAAGCCAGCCGATTTTGTCAATGAGAGGTTGTCAAATGAATCATTTTGAAAAAATTGTAAATATATAATTGCATGAACTTACCTCCTTCATTTTACCATGGCTTAAACAAAAAATTAAATATTTCTAGTTTAAATTAAATTTTTGGTTTTGAATACCACAATTAATAAATTCATATAAAAAATAATGAATTTTCCTTAACGTCTAACGACTCATAATTTTTTTTGCGTTAATAGTTTTTTTATACCCTACACCACAGGTGGTCAGGGTATTATGTCTTTGTACATTTGTTTGTAACAGGCAAAAGGAAACGAGATAGACCCTTAGATCCTTTTGATGATCTGAATTGAAACACATTCTGAGTCGGTGAAGTATGTCCGTCCGTCAGCCCATATTTTTTGTAAACAAAGTACAAGTCTCATTTATTGCCCGATCCAGATGAAATTTTGCACAAATAATTTGTTTGGCCCTAGGACGAACCCTATTGATATTGGAGATGATCGGTCGGATTTGCCTTTTATTGTGCACCAACGTGTAATATAAGCCCAAATAGTACGAAATACGAACAGACTAAGCCTGTAAATAAGTACGCCAAATTGTATCGAAATCGGTTCACATATAGCTATAGCTCCCACATATATTGTTCATCCGATTTGTTATTTTTGTCCTTCGCAGCCATAATATGCACTCAGTAACAACGATATTTGGGGAAATATATCAAATAGAACTCAGAAATACCTTTGCTAAATTTTGTCGAGATCGGTTCTGATTTGGATATAGCTCCCATACATATCTTCGTCCGATTTGCGTTTTATTGTGTACCAAACGTGTAATATTAGCCTCAATAGGATGGAATTCGGCACTTACCACCAAATTAAGTCTAGAAACAAGTATTTCAAATAGAAACAAGCATTTCAATTCAAATATAGCTATAGCTATATTGTTCATCCGATTTGTTGAATTTGTTCTGCACAGCCGCAATACGCACTCCGTAGTAACGATATTCGGGGAAATATATATTAAATACCGGTCAGAAATACCTTTGCCAAATCTTATCGAGATTGATTCAGATTTGGATATAGCTACCATATATATCTTTATCCGATTTCAAGTTAATTGTACACCAAATGGGTAATAAAAGTCCAAATTAGAAGGGCACAAATGCCTCGACAAATTAAGTAGAAATCGCAATCTCATATATTAGTTCCTTTGGACTTGAAATTATAACTATAATAATAGTTGGTATGATTTAATTCTCACAAATTTTCCATTAAAACTTTTATTTGTTATGTGAAGTACTGTGGGGTATCAAAAAGTCGGCCCCACCCGACTTTAAATACTTTCTTTACTGGTTTATACATAAAAATACTTATTAATAAATAAATTTAGTGAGTAGTGGTGTGCCACAGGGATCTGTTCTTGGCCCTCTATTGTTCGTTATGTATGTTAATGATTTGCTGAGTTGTATTAATGGTAGGAACTGTATGTCGTTTGCATTTGCTGATGACATTCAAATTTTGTTTAAAGGAGAATATGTGTTTATGGATGTGTTGCAGTCGTCAATTGATTTTAATATTAATATGTTGGTAACTTGGTTGTCCTGTAACGGTCTCTCAATAAATACTCAAAAATCTAAAGTTATGTTTTTTGGGAACTTGCAAGAGGATTCAATTAGAGTTTCCATTTATAGGACGCCTATAAATGTTGTAAGCTCGATGAAATGTCTTGGTTTGTTTCTTGATTCTGGTTTGGTGTTTGATGTGCATGTGAATTCTTTAGTGTCCAAAGTTAACTTTATTTTAAAGAAGTTGTACTGCTTGGACATTGTTTTGCCTAAGAAGATTAGAATTCAGTTGGTACATGCATTAATAATGCCTCACATTTTATATTGTATTGAGATTTTTGGGGGTAGCTACGGTTTTGTTTTTCGTAAGTTAAAACTATTGTTTCATAGAGTAATGCGATATGTTTTTTGTGTCAAACGTCGTGATCATATATCTCCTTCTGTGAAAGAGTTTCTTGGTTGTTCGTTTGAGTGTTTTGTGAATTTAAGGTCAATGTTGTTCTTCTACAAACATTTTAAATTGAGGACATCTTCTACTCTTTTGGACTTTTTTAAGTTTTCGAGATCTGTAAGGAACCTGCAAATTGTTATACCACGCTTGACTCCTCTGTTGGAAAAATCCTTCTATGTAAGAATTGTTCGCATTTTCAACAATCTGCCACCTAATCTTAAGACATTCAATTCTTTCCTAAAATGTTATAGGCGTAAATTATATGCTCATTTCAATATTGTTTAAAATATATAGTTTTCTTGTGTTAATTTGTTTTTTTCCTTGCATAGTTGATTTATCTAAATCTTCAATGAATTGTGATTTCTGCTAATCTTTTTTTTTGTTATTTTTTTAATGTTATTTTTAAGATTAAGGATGTTATGAATAGTTTTGAGTAGTCATGTATAGGAGTTCTTGGAACCATCAATCAATTGTTAATTTTATTCATTTTTTGTTAATTTGTTTTAGTGTTTAATTTTAAGTAATTCTTTTAGGATTAAGGATATTATAATAATTTTAGAGTAGTCATGTATAGAAGTTTTTTGAACCGTCCATGGCCCTGTTGGCTAGGTTTCTGTACTAATTGAAAATAAATAAATAAAAATAAAATAATAATATAGCATTAGAGCCAAGTGATCAGCAAGCTTCTATAATAATAAGCCTACATCTTCCAATTCTCGACAGCCAAGAAATCCATCTTTGTCTGCCCCCACCCCCAATAATCCAAGCGTTAACAACAATATTGTTGGTTTCTTCAGCTCTGATTTCAATTTTAAATGTGAAAAGGCCAAAGCTTTTGGCCCAATTTTCAAACAAATCCAAGCTAATGCTGGTCTGGATGCTGCCATGTCTGCATGGCTTTTGTTTATTGCCGGAGATGTTGAATTTTAAGGTGGCATTCATCCTCTGTGTTCTTTGCCGCTCTCTACTGCAGGCAATTGGCTGACTTTCGAGTTTCTGATCTAAAACCTTTGATCAATCTTCAAGCTGAAGGGGAGGTCCTTATCGGGGGGGACCTTAATGCTAAGCATCCGTCTTGGGGTGGATCGGACACAGACACCAGAGGCAGAGTCTTGGCTGCTTTCCTAGTCGATTGCCCTAACTTTGAAATTTTTTCGTCAGATATTCCTACTAGACCAAGTGGCACTGCTGGTTCTTATATTGATGTTTTTCTAAGAACTCCAGGTCTGTTTTTAGAGAATGGCGGCCGAATTGCTAAGGCCTTCGACTATGAATCCGATAATAGATCTATTGTGGTAGTCCTCTCACTGGGGGGGTTGGCCACAAGGGAGGTTAGAACTTATCTAAATTTTGATAGGATGAACATCAATCGTTTTCAGGCGAGGATTAGTGAGGGGCTTTCCAATATCTCGCTACCTGTAGACAGAAATGTTTCTATTCCCGAAATTGATACCACTATTGATAATTTGGAGATAGTCTTCAGAGCTTCTATCAACGACACTGTCCCGAAGGTGAAAGCCAAATCAAGGGCTCTTGGTATGCTTCCTCCTAGAATTTTGCGTTTCATTCGTGAGCGCAAAAGAATCTGCAGGACACTGAGGAGATCCAATGATCCATCCCGATTCCCTTCGCTAAGAGCTGATCTTAGAAATCTTGATCGAATCATTGAGGATTCTATTCGAACTTTTGAAAATGAGAGATACCATTCTTTCTTAGAAGGTATAAGGATTGACAACAGTACCTTTTCCCAATTTAAGGCAGCAGCTGGACTTAAAAATAGAGACCCCGTTGGTGAGCTGAAGGACTCAAATGGTGTACCAATCTATGATGACAGTTCAAAGGCGGAAGCTCTAGCAGATCATATGAAGGATGTCTTGGGCCCCGTAGATGGGCCTACTGACCATCACTTCACGAGCTCAGTTAATTTAGCCATAGAGGAAATGGACGATCGGTCCCCTTTGGAGCAATTCAGTGCGACTTTCTCGGCCGACGGGTGTTCAGTAGACGAAACAACTAGATGGGGATTGGCTGGTTTCA